AATTACAGTTTTATATCTTTATGTTTGAAGCCTGAAATGTGGCAAAAGGTCGCAAAGTTCAAGGGGGCCGAATACTTTCGCAAGGCACTGTATTTAGTTCTTTAGACAGATTATTCATGTAAAAATGCTGGTGCTTTTTGTCCTGCTGCTCTTCTGCTTATTATAAAAATAACTTATGTGGTTTTTTAAATACCAGTGAGTGAGCAATATTATGAAATGTTAAAGTCACAACATACTGCCCAACAATTTGAATTTTCCTTCTACAGTTTTACAGACAAATATATAACAAGGTGAAAATGTATTCTGTATCAGTATTTTACTGTTGTATTGAAATACACTTATTTGTGTACCTAATCACTCATCTTGCATCACAAATTGTGGTGTTTGCCATGTTGCAAATGAGCGATTGTATTGTATCCTACCAGAGTACCTGCAGCTTGTATTTACAGTAGTGTCACTTCCTGAACAGAGCCAAAATTTTGTTACACTACTGCATCACCAGATGGGGGAGAACACTTAAAACAAAAGCAGACCCCATGACACCAGCTAAATGTTAAGGCCCTGAAGTCTACAAATGTACTACAAATGTACTCGTATTGCAGTTCTCAGTAGCTGTCCACAAAATACCAAAAACTACAACAAGCAGTGCATCAAAACAAACATTCAACAAGTGAATTACCCAACAGCCCAGTATCTTTATCTGCCTCTGTGGGAATTACAGGTCAGTAGTGAGCTGACATGGAGGAAATAACAATATACATATATATTTATGTTTTACGTACTAACTAATGTTTGTTGTTATGGAGGTGAACTGGATCAGATTTTAGGTTATTTCTGCCTGACAAAAACTTAACCAGTTGACTTCACCTTTAGCAAGGAGATGAAAATATTCCCATAGTCCATCCCTACTATATAAATTGGTTGTAGCATTTTCCTGCTTTGTGACCGGCACTGGCTAATTTTTAACATCTTCACACCCAGCTGCACCACTAGCAGCCACAGCACTGCTTTAACACTGCAGTTACAGCATGCAGCAGCCTGGGCTCAGTCCACTATCAATCCTGAGCTCCTGTGTAGACAACCTAGCCATGGGCAGAGATCATTTAAAATCTATAGACTGTTTTCTCTCTACCGAGTAATTCCAAGTCTGCCCTGCCCTGCCAGTTCTCTTCTTACTAACTTTCTAGCGGAAGGTGTTGAGTGATTGTGGGATTAAAGGCTTTCCTGGATGGCCTTCAGTTTTTCCTGACTTGTGCATCTACTGTACTTTCTTGGTTATTGAGGATCGTTTATGCTTGTTCACTAGTGTCAACCTCTTGTGTCTGCCTGTGATGCCCTGTTGAATGTTGTTGAACAGAGTTCCAGAGTGTCTGGATTATTTGCTCATTCCCTTACTGTTTTCACCTGACTGCATATTTATTGCAGATTGCATGCTTTTATTGCACTGAAATGTATGCTTTTTTTCCCTTAATTGTTTTTCAAAGTTAATATTTTTAATTATTGGAGGAGATGCCAGTCAGAGAAATGTAAGAATCTGATTATCCTAACTTGGCTTCATCGTTGGAGTAAGGAACAAACCACTGAAACAGCTACTCATGACATCCGAACTACAGCAAGTAACTTGATTGGATTTTTGTTACCACAGCATTCTCTGGAATAGATATACAGTGGGTACGGAAAGTATTCAGACCCCCTTAAATTTTTCACTCTTTGTTATATTGCAGCCATATGCTAAAATCATTTAAGTTCATTTTTTTCCTCATTAATGTACACACAGCACCCCATATTGACAGAAAAACACAGAATTTTTGACATTTTTGCAGATTTATTAAAAAAGAAAAACTGAAATATCACATGGTCATAAGTATTCAGACCCTTTGCTCAGTATTTAGTAGAAGCACCCTTTTGAGCTAATACAGCCATGAGTCTTTTTGGGAATGATGCAACAAGTTTTTCACACCTGCATTTGGGGATCCTCTGCCATTCCTCCTTGCAGATCCTCTCCAGTTCTGTCAGGTTGGATGGTAAACGTTGGTGGGCAGCCATTTTCAGGTCTCTCCAGAGATGCTCAATTGGGTTTAAGTCAGGGCTCTGGCTGGGCCATTCAAGAACAGGTACGGAGTTGTTGTGAAGCCAC